CGGCTGTTGCTTTTAATTTCAGTTTTGCATTTTGAAAGCATCAGTCTCATTAGCATGAATAGTAGCTTTGAATGTTTTATCTGGGCTGCAGGATCTATGAGAGATTAACAATTAATATAACAGTAATGAAGCTTCATGCTCTGATAAACAAGGTTATGATGCTACTCCCTTCAGCTGGGAAAGACTTGAGTTAAGCATAATAATGTAGTTGTAGAGAATAAGATCAGTGTTACTTGGTGTACACGTGGACAAACCACTCAGCTTGTCATGATTTTATTAAAACACTGGTAGAATACTCTACAACTTATCAGTGTCCATCTGGAAAAAAGATTGTGTGTTTTAAAGTGGCGCAGCTTCTCTGATCTCCTAAATTACACATGAAACACTGCAGTTCAGTGTTAAGTTGGCTTCAGGGGGGCAATATATTTTTAGTTGACAATTACTAATATACCGATATGATGTCATACACGAATTCTTATGGATCGTTTAAAAAAAAAAAAAGCTAAAAGCAATTTTCAAAATTGGTAGTGTGAATGATTGAATTTTTAGCTATCATCAGGAATATAATTTGCTACAACCGTCCCAGATGTATGTATTGGCTGTGCAGATTCTAGAGAACACCCTCATTAGGATGCTTCACCGAACCCCAACATTCTGTATGGCAAGATTTACCGGTATTCTTTACATCTTTATGACTGATGGGTCTTGGGTACCTTCCCATTAGAACTAACCATGAGCACTGTTTGGCTCACTTTTGAAATTTTGGAACACTCTTGGAAGTAGATCACATTTCCTACCACATAATGAAGCCCAGCAATAATAATTATCATTAAGCCATGAGAATAGGCATCCCTTTTGAGAGTGAGGTATGGTTAGGTGCTACTGGTTAGTTCAGTTAGGGTAAACTAACAGAGAGGCTATTGGCAATTACAAAGCTGTGCTGCAAACAGTACCCAGGCTACCAAATAAGCCCAAGTGGAATAACCCATCTACAACCCAGATGGAAAGACCTGAAATGGAATGTTGTGTTCACGTTAACACAGATGAAGTCACCTTGTATCTGTAACGTTAAGTGCGGAACTAGTAGAGCAGCACCAACCTGATTGCTATCCATTCTAGACTGTTCTATGAAATTCTTTTGAATCTGCGAGGTATTTTTGGAGGGACTGTTTAGAGGGCCATTCAGATACCCCCGAGAAAGGAATGTACAGCTCTGCCAGACTGTAGCCTATGGGCCATGTTGTAAAGATTGTTACAACCAGTGCTTCAGAGATTGCGTTTTCAGCAATGCTGTTATACTTGTTCCTGTGTACATATGCTAATCAGCTAAAAATATTGTATATACAGTATTCTGACATTTGTTTGGTTTGTTTTTGACTCTGCCTAGACTTCCTGTTTGCCTGTAAAATGAGACAGGTGAAACTGCAGTTTGCACAGTGTATGTGTGTGTGTGTTGCACCCTCTAACTAGAGAATATTTGCATGCATGCTATAGTTGACAATGATGCTTACAGTTCTATAAGCATCTCTGTTATAAGACTTTAAAAAAGTTTATAATTTAAGGACAACTAAACCCAACAATAAACATTTACAGGGTTATTCACAAAAAGGTGAAGAGTTTGGAGAAGGCAGGGGAAGTGAACAATCTAGTGCAAAATAGCTGATTTGGAAGAAATTCCCCAATTTAGCTCACTTTCAAGTTCAGCTATGTTGTCCTAGATTGTTCACTTCTCCTGCCTTCTCCAAACTCTTCACCCTTTAGTGAATAACCCTGAAAATTAGGGATGTCCCGATACCGATGCTAGCATCGGAATCGGGCCCGATACAGGGCATTTTGACAAGTACTTGTCAAAATGCCCCGATGCCTAACGCCGAAGCTTGCGCTGTTCTTTTTGGGTTTTTTTTAACCGTCCGTGGGGTCCTTTTTACTGTCCTCTGGGCAGGCTGGAGGAGCGTTGCGTCACTGCTGTGGGCGGCACTCCAGGTGGGGTCCTAATGTGGTTGGCCAGCGACTGCCCAGAGGACTTCGCCTGTAGCTTCGCCCACAACAGTGACGCGACGCTCAGCGCCGCCAACGTCCTCGAAAAGGAAAAAAAAAAGCATTCAGCACCTCGTGAGGCACCTCCATTGAACAGGCAAGAGTGAGTAATGGCCTGTGCTGGGATGGCAAGTGGTGTAGTTTTTGCCACTTTGCCAGACTTCCCTAACTTTCTGTTTTAGTCCTCCAAGTTCAAGAGTTGTTTAATGAAAACACTTCACACATGTATAATAGCAAAGAAGACAGTCAGTATTAGTTGTACTAATTGCAGTTTTCTTTCTACCAGTTATTGGTGTGGTGCATCATTAGCGATGTGCAAACCAAGGTTAACCCTGGTTAACCCAGAGGGAAGTTTGCAAAGCCCAAACATAGTGTCAAACCCTATTGAAGTCTATGGGAATGCCTTCACAGCTGCACCTGAAGTTATGTAACAGTACAAGTAAACACTTTAAACATAAAAAAATGCACTACTACCACAAAATGACAGATCCCCCACCAATTGGTGTTTGTAAACAAAGCAGCCAGGTATCCTGGGTGACCTAATTGACCAAATATGGTCACTAAGGCATCTTCAGCTTTCACCCAGCATCTTCAGCTGGTGGGGCTGGACATAGATATGAGGACGATAAGGGGTCCTCACTGTCCCTATGTGTATGCACTATGGGTATCAGTACCGTCAAGCACCCAGGGCACATGCCCACATCCCTGGGTGCTCAGGCTGCTTCCACCCACTGTTGATCTGTGGAAGTGGGTACAGAGGAGAGCTGGAGTGAGGGGGGGGGGCAGAAGTGCTGAGATGTGGACAGGGATTTAGAGATGAGCTGTGGCTGGGTGGTGAAGAGGTGAGGTGTGAATTGTGGTGCAAAGGTAAGCTGTGGCGAGGGGGAGCAGAGTTTAGCTGTGGACAGGGGGTAAAGTGGTAAGCTGTGAATGAGGGGGCAAAGGTGAGCTCTGAATGAGGGTTACAGAGTTTAGCTGTGGACATGGAGTTCAGAGGTGAGTTATGGGCAAGGTGTGCAGAGGTGAGCTTGGTAGAGGGGAGTGCAGAGGTGAGCTGTGAATGGGGGTGCAGGGTGAACTGCAGGCAAGGTGCAGAAGAGAAATGTCACCTGTCCCTTTAAGAAAAAGTATCGGTAATTGGTATCGGCAAGTACATGAGGGCCAGTACTTGTACTTGGTCTTAAAATAGTGGCATCAGGACATCCCTACTGAAAATATATTGCAATGTGGTGGCTGCATTTGTTTTCATTTTTCAAGCTAAGAATATTTTCAGCAGGTACAGTAAATATCAGTTGACTTTTCCCGAAATGCAGTGTCCTTGCCACTTCCTGTGAATGGAATTGAAATAAAGAAACAAATTATCGTCCTTTAAGCTGTGTTCTGTAAACTACTATCCCCCCATGTAATTAAGAAGAGAGGAAGATGTGTTTGTAGTCCTAATCAGAAGAGCATCCTAGTGACAACCATACCATAGCTCCTTCCATACATATAAATACAGTGCAGGAGTGAGCATAGAAACCCAAGGACAGGAAGTGTGTGTTATTTGCAGGATTACCAGATACAAATAAAGAACAACAAGCCTGAAAAGAATATAGCCACAACATCCGTAGGCTGACAAGCTACAATATACGGTATATTATTTTTGTTGCTGGGGTTAGGTACACTTTAACTTAACTGAGTTTGTTATTGTGACCATGTATGCTTTTTTTCTGATGCATCTCCTTTTTTTTTATTACCGAGACCTAAATTGCATGGACAATCATTAAAAAAATTCTAATACAGAAATTGCTGTATCAAATATAGGATCAATACAAGAAAAGAATCGGTCCTTGTTTGGCTTGGCATTAATATAAAATATGATTGTTTCTTTTAAATCACCTTATTACATATGGTGGATGAATGCAATTCAGAAAATGGTGTATTAATCATTTAGCATACTCACAAAAGACAAATTCTGTGTAATGCTATTAAACCCAAATGTACTCTGTTGTGATTATATCTGTATGAAATAGGGAACATGCTAGGATAATCAGGCTTCCTGTGAGGCAGAACAATAATGCAGATGTGAAAGACAAATCAAAACCAAATGGCAGCACTGCACCTCTCTAGATTGAGGTGACATTTTACATGGCTGTGTACTTCCATTGAAATGCTTCTAAAGTAATACCTTACTTTGTGTTATGTTGTAAAAAAAAAAGCAAGTGTTAGCATTTTCATTATTTTGGATAAAGTTGGCATAACTAGGCATGAAACTTTTCTGCAATGGTACAGTGAATTTTTCACTTTCATGCCTACACTGGTAAAGCAAGAATGACTGGGTTCAGTAGGTTTCTGAAAAGATCAGTTTTGTGCGAGAAAAAAAGAAGCAGATTATATCCTTCCAGTCTTTTCTCGGCTGCTGTCCAAATGCTGAAACATCATATGAGTTCACCACTGTAAAGGGGTTCCCTATCATCTGATGAAATTGGAACCCCCTTCAACTCTTAGCAGGGTGCCTTATACAGTGCATGACTGGTAGGAATACAGGGGTTTTCTAAACTCGTCTATTCATAATCACAGCCTTATTTATACAAATATGCGTCTGCATATTGCAGGCAGTATATAAAAAAAACTATAATAACAAAACAACTAACTTTCACTGAGTTTCTGTATTTGCCTACAATACAGGGGATTTCCTAGAATTTAATTTGGACATGTAAGGAAGGTCCCTTCCTTTTTCCTGATAGAGGAACTGTGTAAAGACTAATGAGGCCAATGTTTGCAGATTCTCTATGCTAGGCACAGTGTTTATGATCTACGAAAGCTTAGTAAAACACCCACTATTCCTCTGGTGGAGAAGGATGCATCCACAACTAGACAAGTATATAAAACGACTGGATTTTTGTATGATAATGGCCATGTCATATGTATGCCTGAGACCATATTAAACCAATATACTGACTCAGTGTTGTCTTATTTTGCAGAGATCTGATGAAGAGGCTGTTGTAGACCAAGGTGGAACCAGTTCAGTACTAAATATACACTATGAGAAAGAAGAGCTTGAAGGTAAGGCTTCATCTGGAAAAGCATGACCATTTTATGCTGCCCCCCACAGCCAGTATCTAACATTTTTCCCTTTTCAGTATCTAAACAGATATTTTCTCTTGGTTTGTTCCTGCAGCATGTACAAAAAACATAGTAAATGAAATAATGTGTAAGTTTCTCCTGGATTGTTATGTTTAGCACATACTGAACTGAAACCGCCATGAATATGTACTCAGTGGGCTATGGTATTTAGGGAGCCGAAACTAGACGGTACTCTTGGAAAACAGAAGAAGGTATCTGTACTGGGCTGAATGAGCAATATAGTGCAAAACAAGTGCAGCTTTGTTAGAAGATGGCATACGACAGTTATTTTCCATTAAGAAGTCAGTTTAGAAATAAATTTAATAAAAGTACAACATTGTTGTGAAAAAAGGCACCACATATATACAGATGTACTTCTGATGGTGGGGGAAACCCCAAACGTTGAACATCCCACGGAGCACTATTAAATCCGTTATGAACCAATAAATCCAGTAAAACAAAATGGATATAATATGGTACCACCACCAACCTGACAGCTCCCTGTATCTATGGAGATGCACCCTCTGCTGTTCTCCATAATATTGAAGGGAGGTGTTCTGTAGTCAATGGAGAGATCTGGAAACAATGTAACTGACAAGAGTGTAGCACAGACAGAGGGCACAGGTAGTTATCAGCTCAAAAAGATTTCTGGCAGGATCAACAGTAATTTTTTCCCACTTTTGGAACAGATATAACACACTGCTTTCAGTGGTATAATTAACAGACTAAAAGGGAGAAAATAAGAGAAGTTTGTTGTTAGAGTTTACATACACTTAAACACATCTCTCCAGCATCTCTAGATTACTCCTTCACCATAGTTTTCAATTTCTACCACATAGAAAAACATCAACTGCAGTGACAAAAAGCATACATTTACCCCAGGAAAACCCCTTAAAACATCCAATAATGAATTAAGCTTAATGTTTAAATTACAGGAGGACATTGTTAGGTGGAGTGATATTTTGTGCAAAACTCTTCAGCGAGGGGAAGTTTTGATTGCTCACTCATCTCTACTCATGAGAGCTTGGATAACCCATGTATTGGAATGGAGGCCACTTTTCAATTATACCCATGAGAAACATCTCAGAATACATCACTGACTTCTGTCTGATTAAATTATTACAAACAGCTTAGTGTAGTAACCATTGCCTTGGCATCAAGGGCAGAAGCAGGACGTCCCAAATGCCATAGGTGAACCCTTTCTACTTCTAATCAGGTCCTTGTCCCTTTCACTATGTATTATTGTTCCATTCATTTTCCTGCCTTTTCTGTCAAAAGTAAAACCCAAACATGTAATACAATGCCTTGCCAAAAATTCACCACCGGGATTTAGCTAAGCAAATAGGTAGGGTTGCCTACTCAGGTTTTTCCATCAATGGATTTTTTTCTTCCCTGATGGCATGGGCATACTCCAAGATGGCAATGCCAGGATTCATCGGGATCAAATTGTGAAAGAGATGTTCAGGGAGCATGAGACATCATGTTCACACATGGATTGGCCCAGCGGAGTCGCGATCTTAACACCATTGAGAATCTTTGGGATGCTGGAGAAGACTTTACACTGTGGTCCGACTCTCCCATCATCACTTCCAGATCTTGGTGAAAAACTGAATGCAACTCTGGATATAAATAAATGTTGTGACACTGCATAACCTTATTGAAACGATGCCACTGCAAATGCTTGCTGTAATCAAAGCTACTGGCGGTCCAACAAATATTAGACTGTGTGACTTTTTTTTGGCCAGGCAGTGTATATTGCAGCTTACCAGTTCTTGGATATAGTGGCATCATTGGGGTTTTTTCTATTTATTTTTACCTGGTGATCCTGTAAACAAAACACTTCCTGTCCTATCAGTTGTATTTATGGAAAGAGCTATGGTTGTCACACAGGCTTGATTTTAAACATGCCTGCCTTTGTTCATCTCCATTACATGGAGGATTGATGAGTTAAGCGGCTAATAATAAAGATAAGGTTCTTTTTGCTTATCAGCTCACAGGAAGTGAGGAGGATACTGCATTTGTGGCAAGATCAACAAGTATTATATCAAGGTTTGATTTTTAGGTTCAGATACACTTTAAGTCAGCATAGAACACATTGTAGCATGGTACTGGTCATAAACATTATTGTTTTTTTTATTTTTTTATCTGATTTTGGAACATTTTAGAGGAGTATTAGGCAAATGTAGAAAGCTTATCTTGACAAATTGTATGTGCCTAGTAATAAGTTTACATAAAAGCTAGTTATGAAAAAACACTTTTACCACACACTCAGAGAAATAAAGTAAACCATTTTAGAAAATGAACCCATTGTTAGTAATTTGCAATATTGTTTACTGATGTTTCTAGGGCAACACAGTTTGAGATTGCGCCAAGCAAATTGCCCATAATAAATAATGCAGAGCTTCTGAGAGTGTCTTACACTTACAGACTATGTTGCTTTTATTTGTTGAAGCCTAGTGACAGGCAGCTGAGATTTCTCATTATTATGGAAGGGTTATCCTGGTGTGTACTGTTAGTAGATGGGGTTAAGGCAGTAATGCAGTCCAAATCTTACATTGCTAAGCCCTTTCATTGTAAGTGACCCACAGTCTTATTTAATAAAGAACATGATTCAAGTTTCAGGACTGGCATTCAGTAATGACTTTTAATATTAAATCCCAAGTCATCCTTAGGTAATGCTCCTACTCTAAGCTAACTGGCAACTTAAAGCCCATCTTTGGCTAAAAAAGCAAACAAAACAAAACTCCCCTTGGAGTGGGGCTAACCCCCCGCACTGCAAGAGTTAGCTGCTCGTTTTTTGACTAGGGAGATTCTGAGCGGTTTTACTTACCTGATCCCCGCTTTTTTGGCAGATGGTTCTCACCTCTATCCCCTCTACTGTCCCTCGGGGAAAAATGCCTTTCCCTCCAGATCTCATGTTATTTTGCAATTTACAGATGAGATATCCCAGGAAGGCACGGGTGATGTAGCCTTCCCAGGATGTATCTGTAATGGAAAATCAGTAATTGTAAGTAAAAGCAAAACATGTTCAACTAATAAATGTTTATAATTTGATATAGCACTGTGTGCTGATGTGATTTTTAGTGACAGGAGGGAAAAGGTCCACTTTAGGCACTGCAGGGGTATTTTTTTTTTATTTTTTTAAGGGAGATATGGACTTTAAAGTAAATCAGGTAAATTTTTACATGTTAGTTGCATATATGCACAGTGTGTGGATGTATACGTGTGAAATTTGCAGGTATTTTACAGAGGTGACAGTATGCCCCCAGACAATGATCTGACACAGTTCAACCCCTGCTGCAAACTTTCCGCATGTGACCTAAAACAAAGTTTTAGGACCCCTTCACTCCAAAATGTAAAGGTACTTGTAGTCAATTGCCTTGCATTGTGTTAGCATGCATTTTTGATTTGTTGTGTTGCATTGCACTGAAAAAAAGTAGATCATGCTTTACTTTTTTTTCCAGCACAATGTAGCGCACTGCAGCAGTGTGAACTGGCCCCAATCACAGCCTTGTGTTAGCACTTGTTAAAAAAACACAAAAATTTCCCAGCGCGCTTACTAGCTAGCCTGCAAAAAAACAAAACTCAAATTACACTGTCTACTTATTACGGTTAAAAATGGTTACTGTAGCTTTCACCCCCAATACTTCTCGATATCTCTTCACATCCCTTTATTGCTCCGATGATCGAGATGGCCAAGGTCTCTTTCTGGACCTCTGAAATCTCACCCTTTCCATATCCACTGACACTAGGGATCAGAGACCCAGATTTTCCACCTGGGCTAGACAAACGTAACATTTATCGCCTGCTGACAGTACACAAGTCTCGCATGTTGGACTTAATTTCGGACAAGGCATGGATGACCCAAGACTCTATTCGGAACTTCATTTCCTCACAGTTAGACAATTGGAGTCTATATCAAATTCAACATTTCCTTCCCTCTGTCCCTGGGGAGCAGGATTTGTCAAGGCGACTTATGAGTTTTGAATCGGTATGCCATAAAGGTGAACCCATCCATCACTCTCTTTCTATGATTTATAAGCTCCTCTCTTCACCTCGTGAGGAGTTTTGCCCTCCTTTTATCAGAAAATGGGAGACCGAGTTGGGTAAGACATACAGCACTGTCCCTAGCCCGCAGGTCCTCCATGGCCAGCAGGGACCAAGAACAGGGTTAAAAGATTTTGCCCAGATGGTACAAGGTCCCATATGTTATGCACACAATTTACAGGTCTATTCTATCTACCTGCTGGAGATGCAGACAGGCCCCAGGTACCATGCATCACATTTTCTTGTACTGTCCAGAACTGTCCACCCCTTTTGGGATTCCATTTGATCTGTAATTAATGAATTAGTCATAACTGCCCTGACTGACAACCCTGCAGTTTTTCTTTTGCACATAACGACCACGCCACTCAAACACTGTAAGCGATCGTTGACAATTCATCTGCTTAATGCAGTGAGATCTTGCATTCTGTTGCTGTGGACACAGACAAGACCCCCTACAGTGAGGTAGTGGTTTATTGTGCTCAATGATATATACCAAATGGAGGACCTAACAGCCTTGTTGCGTAATACCAAGGAATGAGTCAGATCCACGTGGATGCCGTGTTTTTTTTAATAAATCCACCTCTGCCTACTCACAAGAGGTGATGCCTGATCCCTCTGACTCTCCACAGCTTTGCAAAGATTTGTGTAGGGTTATTGCAGGGCGGTAGGGGCTGGACTCCAGGGTGGCTCTTCTTGCCCTATTTGAGTTTTCTGGCGTTTTCCTATTCTTTTCTCTGTTCTTTATTTTTTAGCTATGGTCCAGGAGATACCACAATCCCATTGGGCTCCGCTCTCTTCTCTCGGGGGCTTCATTGCTCTGGGTCATGTTGTTACCTTTCCAGGTTGAGTGAGGATGGAGCCCACATTATTTTCTATCATACTATATCATATCA